GTACACTTAAGTTAATTTTAGGACACAAAATGCAATAAATTACCCTATTTTTTGTAAAATATAAAAGATGAGGTTGCACCCCTATTTTTTGACCTGCACCGACACCGATATCCAACATGTCAACCCTTAAATTTGAAATGCTGACAAATTTCAGTACCCTATATTTTCTATAGGCGACGTTTTTAAAGCCCACTATAGGTCATCAGTATAGTGTTACGGAAGAGGTCTTAGTAGGTGCTAGAATTATTACTGTCATTCTGGTGTGCATGGCGCGTGCTCTCTCTTTTGTGTACATGCGTATATGTGTGTGTGTGGGGGGGCTCAATTTTCTTTTTGAGGGAATGTTATGTGCTTGGGTGCAACTTTGATTTTTTTTTTTTACTATTAAAAAAAATAGTTTTACTTAACTTTTTTTTTTCATCAGACAGGGTACAAAAAGTCCCATATGTGATGATTTTTTGGTGACAGTCTAAAAGACCTGCATGTCTCCTCTGTATGTAATGCAATGCACATTGCACCGCATTACATTCTTTCCCGGTCTCAATGGAGAGCCCTGCTGCTTGCCCACAGCAGGGCTAAAGGTTGAAAGAAGCTACCTGCCAAGACACTCGTAACTACTTGTCCTGAGCGTCGGACAATACAAATTCAACATCCCTGGGAGTGCCCACACTATTGGGCACATGATGGAGGGTTTGATGGTCAGATGTCCACAAAACCAGCCTGCTGCACTGTCTTGTCCATACATGGACAGAATCCTCACTACAGACAGCACATATTTATATACTGTACATGAAGATCTCTGCTGCAGTTTGGCTGGGGAGGGAAGAGACTACTAACATTAAATCAATTGACCAGTGGATCAGGAAGTCCGAGTGGTCCTATCACTTTGGCACTTGTATCAGTGTTGAATTACAGTCATGAGCATGAAGAGAGTCATGCTCTTTACACTAGAACATCATTTGAGTAATATTTTACGTATTCCACTTACTATATAAACATGAGCGATCAAGATTTTAGACAAGTTCGATTTGACACAAGTTCCAAAATAAAAAAAGATTTTGAAGGTTGTGATTTTAAATGGGTTTACATGTTTAAATAATAAATATCTTTTAGTATTTTAATTAAGCAAGCCATAATTTTTCGGGGGCATATAGGTCCATCTTGCTCCATCCTTGCAATCTACAATGAACATGTAAGTTGAGCACAGGTCCTGCATTTTTCTTAGAACATTTTGCAGTCAAGCTAAGACTGTTTTTATAAATAGTGAATACTTGTGAGCTATTATGAATGAGGCATTCAGTGGGTAATATATAATTGTCTACTGATAAAATGTGCTTGGTGCGCTGGCACTTACACAGACTCACTTGCTAGTGTATATACAATATTATAAATAAATTTATAGTGCCGCGCTCCTATTTACTTATATATATATAACTTAATCCTTGGGGTACATGAATTGATATCTGAAACAATACATAAATCACTGTGACTAGTGAATAAAAATAATCAATAATAAATAATAAATAATGATAGATCAATTGTGAATCACTATGACTGGTAAATCAATTAAAAATAGATAAATTTAAATATGAATAGATCAACAACCTTCATTAATGTGACTGATATCAATCAATCAAAAAATCCTTAATTAAATGTGACTGTAAAAGGATGAAACTAAGATAAATAAAATCCTAAATATGTGCCACTCTGATCTGATGTGATCACTCCATCTATATTGTGCAAAAGCATACATAAATGTGCAAGTGCAAACAATAAAATTCATAAAATAAAGTAAAAAGTCTTTCAAATAAGTGCAATGTGCAGGTGAATTCCTTATTCCCTCTCGCCGGGTGCTTAGTGGTCTCCCTATGCGCTCACCTTAGTATTTGCCTAAATAAATTCAGGCAAATAAGCTTTTAATCCTTCCAGGATTGATGGGATGATACTCTTATGTAAGATGTTCCAGAAGATGGGTGTGGATCTATAAGGATCCTCCTGAGGAGAGTACAGGAGGATCCCTATAGATCCACACCCATCTTCTGGAACATCTTACATAAGAGTATCATCCCATCAATCCTGGAAGGATTAAAAGCTTATTTGCCTAAATTTATTTAGGCAAATACTAAGGTGAGCGCATAGGGAGACCACTAAGCACCCGGCGAGAGGGAATAAGGAATTCACCGGCACATTGCACTTATTTGAAAGACTTTTTACTTTATTTTATGAATTTTATTGTTTGCACTTGCACATTTATGTATGCTTTTGCACAATATAGATGGAGTGATCACATCAGATCAGAATGGCACAGATTTAGGATTTTATTTATCTTAGTTTCATCCTTTTACAGTCACATTTAATTAAGGATTTTTTGATTGATTGATATCAGTCACATTAATGAAGGTTGTTGATCTATTCATATTTAAATTTATCTATTTTTAATTGATTTACCAGTCATAGTGATTCACAATTGATCTATCATTATTTATTATTTATTATTGATTATTTTATTCACTAGTCACAGTGATTTATGTATTGTTTCAGATATCAATTCATGTACCCCAAGGATTAAGTTATATATATAAGTAAATAGGAGCACGGCACTATAAATTTATTTATAAGACTGTTTTTACTTTTCTTTTCAGATTTTTAGGTAAGCATGGCACTTAGCAAAACTAGCACAGAGACTACATGGGGTTTTATTGGCATCTGAATTGCTTTTTTCTCCATACAAGTCAATAAGCATGCAAACACTGCTTAAAAGGTGGTCAAATGAAGGTCAGAAGAGATGCACCTGTAAGGGAACTGAAAGAAAAGTGAAAAAATGGAAAAATACTTATTGGTCAATCAAATCCATTTTCTTATTGTCTTGCTTGAGGGAAGACCTATGCTTATCCCAAGCATGCTTAAATTCATTTATTGTCAATTGGTTGACTAACTCTAGAAGACTGTTCAGGCATCCACTACTCTTTTGGTAAAATAATGCTGTTCAACTTTACTTTAGAACTTTTCCTGTTAGTTTGAGGTCATACCTTGTGTTCCTAAGCTTGGCTTACAGAAAAAAAAAATACTACCCACTTGAACCCTTATCCTGCTGTATGCCGTACACTGTTGTATTCATGTTCAAGATGTCTGCCTTTAAGAAACTCAAAGTGGCCTGATGTATCTTAACCTCGACTGCTCACTGGGAAAAAAAGCATATTTGTAGGTACATGATCCTCTCTGGATTAAAATCTTGCCCCAAAAAATTCCAGTTACTGCTGACACATTTTGAACCAATCACAGTCCAGAGGGCCTAGTTAAAGGTCCAAAGAGCTTAAGACTTTAACTAAGGCACTTTAATATTTTACAGTAATAATGCAGTTTTAATCCAGGGGATACTGGTTACATCCAACGTACTAGATACTTTTTGTAGAATTTTTTTGTGGAAGAACTGTTCAAGGCCTGTACTACACAAAGGGATCCAAATCACAACACATGTGGTTTTACAGAACCCCATTGATGCTCTAGTATGTTAGTCCATATATTCTAAGCAGGAACCGGTCTATGAGAGTTTTTCAAAATGGATACTCCAGGACCTTTGTCTTGACACCTGATTTGCACATTTGTTACGGGTCATTGATGTGTTATATATACCAAACCCAAGGTCAGGATCATTTCCTGAAGCTTGTACCTCCAAAAAAAAAAAAAAAGTTGTCAACAGCTGCCTAGCATGACAGGTCCTCTTTAAAATTCCAGGAAGTACTGATATAAGAACCTCTGCCATTTACCAAACTTTTCTAACATTAGTTCATTGGTGTAAATACTCAGCTGCTGCAGCACCAACACTCAATACATTTTTACAGTATTTATACAGCCTTCAAGGTTTCCATGATTGGCGTGAACACCCCCGAGTTGGTCGGTATTCATAACAACTTCCTTCGTCTTACCAATGTGCAAGAAAGCCTCCCTTTTTTTTTTTTTTTTTCAAGCATACGCAACTTAGCGTTTGGAATGTATGTATTTGATATAATATATAGTTTTTACTTTCTAAATGCTTGTACAAACCGAGGAAAGAAAATACCCTCATTTTATTTTAAATCTTGGCATTTTAAACGTTGAAATGCTCGAATTTGCCTTTGTAAAGAAATACATCTGTGTTTAAAAAGTATACTCAAACGGCTGATAAAAAAGAATCTCCTGCATTGTAAACATTAGGTAAGCCAGTTGTAGAACTCAGCTGGACCGTCTCTTCGTGGGTGTGTTCTGTAAAGCAAAAGGTGTGGCCCACAGCAACCAATCGGGGTCCACTAGGACCAAGCAGCCCTGGTATTACTGTCTGGGCAGGTACGAGTTATAGAATTCACCCGCCAGCTTCTTCATCTCCCAAGGGTTCCAGTGGGGAGACAACTGCACCTAAGTTCCCAGCCCCGTCCAGCTTAGATTTATTCACATATTACATTACAGAGGGGCAGCAGCAGGAGGAGCGAGACCCCTCTTAACAAGCCTTTGTAATGACGAAAGCAAGGAGGCAGACTTAGTAATATTTTGCGAAGAAACTCATTAAACTCTTGAGCCCTCAAATGGCAATCGCCAATGTGTCACTGGACTTACCAGCCTCTACCAAAAATGGATATATCCATTTTGGTTGGAATTACTTTTAACTGCAGATAAAAAAAAGAAAAAAAAAAAAAAAGACAGCTGGAAGCTGACTGGTAGCTATGGCCAACACTTCTATCCCATTATATGTTACAGAACACCCTTCTAATTGGTAGCTGAGTACTTAACGGCCGATACCAAGCTTTAGGGCCTTAGAACAGGCCAGCTAGGGGCACAATATTGGCTGAGGAATGGGTCTCAATTCTAACTGCTATTCAGATTCACATCTTTTTCACAGTATGTTGTAGAGAACCAGATACGTCAGTGCATTATTTCCTGTTATAACACAATACCTCCCATGCCTTATCATACATTCTTTTTCATGTCAAGTAATACTGATAGTGTTTCTTCTCTACACCATTTCGTCATAGGTGTCGGATCAAATCTGAAGACGGACTTTTGTACAGGTATTTCCAGATGGCGTAATAATGCACGGCAGCTGCAAGGGCAACAAAGAGGTGCCAGATGGCATGCGCAAAGGGGATGATTCCGTCACTCTTGAAGAAGACAACGCCCAAACAGTAGATCAGGCCTCCCCAAGCCAATTCTTGTAAGCCCTCTGTGTTGTTCTGTGTAAGGAAAGAATATCAAAGTTGACTTTCAGAAAGTAATAAACACATTAATAAAAATAGTAGTTTTTTTTATTAACCACAACAAGCCTTGTTCATTCAATTAATTGTACAAAATAATGGTGGAGCGCTACCCTCTCAATACCTAAAAATAATATCCATTATTATTGTGAAATAAAAAAAAACATAAATAAACTCCTATGTGAAATCATAATTACTCTCTGTATAACATAAATATCACATAACTCATATTTAACAAACATTCCATAAAGCGCATTCAACAGCGGTGAGTCCACAATCTCAGTGCTGCAAACTATCAGTGATCAAGAAGATGCATTCAACAAAATGTATTCAAACATGAATAATAAGTTATACACATTTTTTTGACCCCTACCCCCACTACCTCTCCGGGCTCTTCAATGCGACCGGGGCACCCAGTATCTGATCTGGCAGTTCCACTGGCAGATCATAGAGTAGGCCAGGAACTGGAAAGTCCCCGGCCATCTTTATGGTCTAAGACAGTGGTCTCCAAACTGCAGCCCTTTGCTTTCTTTTATCTGGCCCTTGGGACACGCTTTAATTCACTGACATCAATGAAAGGCATAATTCCTGCTAATAACACCAATGATGGGGCAAAATTCCTACCAATTTCATAAATGATGGGGCATAGTTCCTCCCAATGCCACAAACAATGGGGCCCAATGATACGAATGATGGGCAAAATACCTCCCAATGACACCAATGATAAGGCAGAATTTCTCCCACTGTCACACAATGATAGGGGATGGTAAACTCCCACTGATACTGGGACATTTTGTATTCCTGTTGACAACAGTCCGCCCCCCCCCCCCCCCCCTAAAGACTGAAGGACAGTAAACTGGCCTTTTGTTTAGAGACCCCTGGTCTAAGTGACTAGAAGCGATGGCATTTCATCACTTCCAGTCAGGGCAGATGTAAACACTGCATTTTTATTTTCTGGAAAGCATGAAATCATTGTTTTTTTCTATTTCCTGCTTTCCAGAAAAGATTAGATATCTGGGGTCTTATAGACCCCAGATGTCTCCATAAAGAGGATATGTCATACTTTATTTCTATCACAAGGGATGTTTACATTTCTTGTGATAGGAATAAAAGTGATCACAAAAATTAAAAGGGACAGTGTAAAAATAAAATCATAATTAAAAAAAAAAAAAATTAAAGCTCACCCATAGTGCACACAGAGGCAAACGCATATGTGGGTCATGCACATATGTATGTGTTCGCACCACATGTGGTCATCATGAGGGCAAAAAATTCCAGCACTAGATCTCCTTTGTAACTCTAACCTGTACAAATGCTTAAAAAACACAGCCTACTGAGATTAAGTATCGTAGTTTGTTGCAATTCCACGAGCGTGCGCAATTTTTAAGCGTTACGAGTTAGCTATTTGCTAGGCATAACATCTTTTATATTTTACTAAAAAAAAAAATTGTGTTTTTTGCATTAAAATCCATTAAATTGTATTATTTCCCAAAAACTTGAAAAACCGCTGAACAAATACCATGTGACATAGAAAAAATGGTAACAACCACCCTTTTATTCTGCAGGGCCTCTACTAAAAAATATATAATGTTTGGGGGTTCAAATAATTTTCTAGCAAAAAAAAAGACTGATTTTTACATGTAGGAGAGAAGGGTCAGAATAGGCCTGTTTTTTTAAGTGGTAAAGGTCAACAACAGGCTAAATACACAATTGAAATACATATATAAGAGTTGTGTGACTTGCTAAAAAAATTTTATTTTTGCTCATCAATTACCGCATTTTACAGACACCAAGCTGGGTGATTTGATCTTATTCTTTTGCAGATAAGCAGTACAGTTAGGTCACCTCTCTTCTCCCATTTTGTGCCCTTTCCTCCAGTCAGCTGTCCATTATCAGCATATGTGTTGCACTTCCACCTGGCAGTACTAGGGTCGCTGGTTCGAATCCCAACCCCGGCACCACCTGCATGGAATTTGCATGTTCTCCCTGTGACTGCGTGGGTTTCCTCCGGGCACTCCTATTTCCTCCCACACTCCAAAAACATGCTGGTAGGTTAATTGGCTCCTGTTTAAATTGGCCCTAGTATGTGTATGTATGAATGTAAGTTAGGGACTTTAAATTGTATGCTCCTTGAGGGATAGGGACTGATGTGAATGTACAATACATATGTAAAGAGCTGCGTAAATTGACAGCACTATTAAAGTACCTGAAATAAATAAATAATATGTGAATGCAAGAACCTGAATGGCCCCAAGGGCTGCCCCTCCTTTTTCCCAGTCTGCATGCTGAACAATAGTTAACAGGAGACTGATATTAAGTCAAAAACAAATATTGTGTGACATTTTTAATACAAACATAACTACACTCGTTTTTTTTCTTTACATCTGAATGGAGTTGAACACCATAAAGGAAACACATAAAAAAATGTAGGAGTGGCAATACCAATTCAATTTTAGTTATGGTGGATTCTTACCATTGATGTCACTACTAGAGCAGGAGAAAATCCCATTGCTAGATAGAAGAGCAATTCAATTACTTTATACCTGAAAAAATAAAATATGTGGTTACTGACTCATGTACAAACAGTCAATGCCATCATACTTTTGATACATCATGTCCAAAGTCATAGGCAGCACTGTTCATAAGAAGAACATTCTGCATTTCTTTTGTCAATAAGACCCTACCACCCTACAGCCGGGCATACACATGGGCAACTTTCCGTCAGTTTCAACAACTTTTGATTACCCAAGAATGGAACATACAAATGAAAGTGATTGCCTAAAAGGAAGCACCCATAAATTCGATTAACCACCAGAATTTGATGGATCAAACTGGTGACACCTTCAGTACAAGTCCAGAAGAAATGAATTGAAATCAGACAAAACTACATCAATTTCATCGAGAGGCAACTGGATTTTTATTTGCTGGGCTTGATCAAGGCAATCTGAATTCTATCTCCTTGTTGGAAACAACTATTTTCCACATTCAAACCCTTAGGATTTCGGTGCTAGCGAACTGACTAGGTCAAATGTGGTTGAAATTGAAATTTGCCACATGTATGGTCAGCATAATTCTAAGATGAAACAGAAACTTGATTTCAATAATCTGATTGGTTGTTAGCAGGGGTGGACTGACAACTCGTGGGGCCCCCGGGTAATAGGGGATCATGGGTCTGTGTCCTTGCCCAAACTCAAAAAAGCCTATGAAAAAGGTACCAGGGGCATCTCATGGGGCCCCCTACTGACTCCGGGCAGTGCCCGAGTTTCCAAATGGTCAGTCCGCCCCTGGTTGTTCGTACTTAATTTATATAACTTCATGCACAAGGTCTAAAGAAAGTCAAACTTTATGACTAGTAAAGTGTGTCAATTTATACAACTCTTATAAAGTGGGTAAAATGAACAAAGGACTTCCTGCATCTATCACAACAAACATTTTGTTTTTCTTTGTACTAAATGAAGAATTTGCTACCCTACCAAATTTGTCAGACATTGGGAATGAATCTTCCCTTATTTCAAAAATGTTAGTGAGAGGTCAGTTCAGCTTTCTTGTTCTCCATAGATACGCACTGAGTTTCCACCAGAGGGCACAGAACACAACAACATGGGGTCACCTGCCCTATTGTAGGATATTGCTCGAAATCCATAAATTCATGTGAGCCAGTGTACAGCAAACTACACTACATGGCCAGGATTTTCATACAAATAAACATCACTAAATAAGCTTGTTGGACATCCATTCCAAAACCATGGGCATCTCTTTGGAGCTGGAAACCCCTTAGCTGTTAAACAGCCTCCACTGTTCTGGAAGGACTTTCCAAGAGATTATGGAGTGTGCCTGTGGGAGTTTGTGTGCATTCATCCCAAAATACATTTGTGAGGTCAGGTACTGATGTTAGATGAAAGGACCTGGCTTTCAATTGGTGTTCAAATTTATCCCAAAGGTGTTCATAGGGTTGAGGCCAGGGCTCTCTGCAGGACCTTCTTCCACACCAAACTCATCCAACCATGTCTTTATGGAGCTGACTTTGTGCACAGGGGAACCGCCGTGTCTGAACAAAAAAGGGCCATCTTCAAATTGTAGCGACAAGGTTGGGGCACATATACAATGTCTTTGTATTTCTGTAGCATTAACATTATCCTTCACTTGAAACACTCAATAATTTGGAGGGGTGTCAACATACACTTGGACATAAAGCATAGAGGTCAGATGTCCACAAACCTTTGGCTATATAGTTTTCTTTTAGCCATAACCATACAAGAAAGTTCATAACACATAACAATCGTATCTGTGTGTTGTGGTGCAGCACACTGTATAGGAACGTTGGGATGAAATTAATTAATGGTAACGGTCCACAACACACATAAATAAGACGTGTTACTGTTCAGTACTAAAATGAGCATTATACCGTGTATGGTGTTGTGAAAAAACTTTGGAAGATCTAAATAGCTTTGGATTTAGGAATCACAAGAATGTTTATTGGTTAAACAAAAATTTGGATTTAAAGTCACAGTCCACTCATAATAGATGATACACTGACTGTTTACATATCTGTGGCCCCAACTGCTAGCAAAGTAAGGTAGTTCTGTTTCACCATTTACACCTATGGAGAGTTCAGCAAGTAGAGCCAGAACAAGTTTGGTTGGGTAGAGAACAGTTGTGATGAAGTTGGGGAAGGATTCACTTGTTTTTTATTTTATTCATATTAAACATTGTTAACATGGTAATTATGTATGAATACATGAAGTAAAACAAAAGTAGTCTTACCTTTCATGGTACAAAAACACATAAATAGTTCCACCTGCTGCCATTAACCAGATAAACCACCTCATATGAGAAGCCAAAGGACCAAGTTCACGTAGATTTAACCTATAATGAAAGAACATCAGCCATTTTCAGCACACCTATCACTTACATTATTGGGAGTTGTAGAGAGCCTCCCCCTCATACCAAGCTTTGCCCATAATATTATGAAACTCTTCCGTGGATCATCTAAAGCAACCTTTTTCAACATTTTTGTCTCTGAAAAACCCTTAAAATAATTACACTTCTCGAAGAACCCTTACTAGAACCAATTCATTGGGCATCAGAGGGAAAAATACTCCCTTACATTGGTGGTCAGTGGGAAGAAAGCTCCCTGAAACTATAAAGGCATCAACAAATGAGAGGTCAATCAGTCACAGCTCAAGGAACCTCTGGCAACCTCTAGAGGATTCCTAGTTGAGAACGGCTGATCTAAAGTTTTCCAAGGTCAACTGAGAGATGTAATCCCATGAGTATGTTCAGACTTTTCTATTAGGCATCTTTCCAATTTAAAGCAGATCTAAACCTTTATTGGATGAGGTCTAGTTTGTTAAAGTACAATGTGCCATAAACTGCCATGGGATATCTTTTCATAAAAAGAAAAAAAAATGGCAATACTCCCTTACATTGGTGACCAGTGGGAAGAATGTCCCTTACATTAATGATCAGTGAGAAGAATGTCCCTTACATTGGTGGTCAGTGGAATAAATGCCCCTTACATTGGTGGTCAGTGGGGAAGCATGCCCATTACATTGGTGACCAGTGGGAAGAATGTCCCTTACAATGATGACCAGTGGGAAGAATGTCCCTTACATTAATGATCAGTGAGAAGAATGCCCCTTACATTGGTGATCAGTGGGGAAGAATGCCCCTTACATTGGTGGTCAGCGGGAAGAATGTCCCTTACATTGGTGACCAGTGGGGAAGAATGCCCCTTACATTAATGATCAGTGAGAAGAATGCCCCTTACATTGGTGATCAGTGAGAAGAATGTCCCTTACATTGGTGATCAGTGAGAAAAATGCCCCTTACATTATTGGTCAGTGGGGAAGAATGCCCCTTACACTGGTGATCAATAAAACTGACATCAGCTTTTTACATCTCTGAAAAACTCTAGTTATAAGAGTCCCCATAATTCTCAGTTCCATAATAACAAAAGAAAATAATGGGGCCACATTCCCATAATGGAACACAAAATAAAGACAACTGTGTAATCAAGGGGAGTGGCAAATTCATTATATTTTGCTAAATGTGGTGGAAACAAACTATTCAGGATACTCTCACTAACCTTACCTCCTAGATGGACATTCAGTATTAAAGTCTATCTCTAACACATTTTAAGCAACTTTTTTTCCTTTTGTTAAAATTATATATATATATATATATATATATATATATACATACATGCACACACTAAGGATGGCCATAGACGGAGCTTAGCAATAATCGGCACGTAAAATATGGCAGGCTGGTTGTACCCAAGTTGATTGATTGTTTACCTTGGGTACATTCAGCCTGCCTATATATGGTTCGAATCTCGCCCAGCTATTGCTGAACCGGCCCAGATTCAGACCGTCAATGGACAGTTTTACTTCTGTAAGCTCCTCAGTCTGTGTTTACATGATTTATTCCAACCCCCGTGCTTGCTACTTTTTCTGGATAGCTTGCCTGTTAAAGGAATCGGGAAAGGCAAAATCAATAGATCCTGAAAATGTTTCAACTACATCAGTTCTATGTGGAGTGACCCTTTAATGGAAATTGTGTTCCAAAGCCCCTTATGTACATTAAAACATACCTAATTGAGCTTCGTAAGGACAATAAACATACAGACTATAATTTCACATACAATTTATTATATCTCAAATACCCACCATGGTGCATAGGAGGCGGCAATGAAAAAGTAGATGACCATTCTGTCACACATGTGGAAACAATGCTCTATAGTCCTGGAAACAACAAAAGAAAAAAACGCTTATCTAGAGAGTTCTGTAACCGGTCTACCACTAGATAAATAATGCACTATTGTCAGGGAAAGTTGCCAATTATTTTTTTTGCTTGGTGGCCATGCCCCAGGGGGTTCATTCACAATATCGAGTGATAACAAAGAAGAAAATAGTGAGAGGCAACGTGTGTTTCTGCTGAACTTGCTTTCTTGTGTGTGCACTGGATATCTGAGCTTTGGAGAAACTACACAGTGTCCAGAATGTAGCAAAAGTATACAGTGGATTCAAAAAGTATTCAGACCCACTTCACTTTTTTCAATGTTGTTATGTTCTTATGTCTCTTTTTTTCTCATTAATCTATACTCAGTACCCTATAATGACAAAGTGAAAACAGAATTTTGGTAATGTTAGCAAATGTATGAAAAAAGGAGAAATTGAAATATCTGTCTTGCTTGTAAAAAAAAAAAAAAGCCAGTTCCATAAAGACATACAGTAGTTTGAAGGCGTTTGTGTGGAGGAACTCAAGTGTCTTGTGCAGATTCCTTTTAGATTCTGATTAAAACTTTATACAGGGTTGAATGAAACGGCAAGTGGAGGGGGTAGGAAATGGTGATGATTTATACTCTGACTCAGCTTGAGCTACTGAGCATTGTAAACAAATGGGCTTTTGTAAACAGAATAGCTAAAGAGAGACTGGCAAACCAATGTACAATAGACTAGAGCTTTAATTTCCACTTGTAGTTAAATATATAAAAGATTAATGTGTGATGTTACAAACCAAAATAAAACAAAAGAAAGAAATATATTTTAGTCATCCTCTATAAAAATGGAAAAAAAATATATGTATGGGTGGTATCAAAAAGTTTCAAGACTAGTTTGTAACACACCAACAGATGGAAGCACAAGGCTGCACACACAGCCACAGGGAGCACCGACCTTCATAAGTCAGTGTGCCAAAAGACATTGTCCTGCATACTTCAGGAGCTGTGCAACTGGTGCTATTCTGACCATGTGCATTACCACATCTGAGATTTCATCATGGACAACGTTAGGACAAAGAGCAAACATTAAATTGTGTGTGTGTGAAACCTGTACACCCAACTTTCGACATGAAGGATGGGTCATCGACGGCGTGCTGATGGAGTTCCTGGCAGACTTTGACACAGTGTTCCTTCTGCTCCTGGGTCAGCAGCCTGGGGGCAAACTTGGCTGTAACATGGTAGAATGTCACCAGCACACCAAGGATTATCAATATGGGTCCAAAAGTTTTAATGAGTGATCACATAGTTACAGCAAGGCAATGTTTCGAAGTCTCGCAGGACCCCTTCATCAGGCATGTGACATGCATGTGATCACTCAATAAAACTTTTGGACTCATATTGGTGATCCTCGGTGTAGTGGTGACATTTTCCCTTGCTGATTCTGTTCAGTTCCAGCCAACGGTCGCTGCAGCACCCACTTACATACATAGCCATTTTTAACACACGAACATGTGCGTTTGGATTGTACACTTGCATTCTTGGCAGTAACAAGACGCACATTCAAATCACATGTGAGGATTGGCTGGACTGTTACGTATGACATACCGACAATGGCAGCCGTGTTGTGGATTGTTCTCCAAGGATCATCATGCACAAACAAGAAACAAAAATAATTTCAACATTTTTGGGGGTTGAGCTCATTGAAGGTCTTCCTAATCTCTTGTCATCTTCCAGTGATGTTCTTCCACTCTTGAAGCGCACTCAAAACACCTTGAACAACTCATTGTCAAACATCTCTGTGGTAAATTTGTCCAGTTTCATGCAGCATTTCATGTCTGCTCTTTGTTCTAACTTGCCATCCATGATGGAATAGCAGATGTGGTACCGTACATGGTCAGAATAGCACCAGTTACACAGCTCTCGATGTACACAGGACAATGTATTTTGGCACACTAACCTATAAAGGGCGTTTTTCCCTGTGACTGTGCGTGCAGCCTTGTGCTGCCATCTGTTGGCGTGTTACAAAAGTAGTCTCAAAACTTTTTGATACCACCTCAAATATTTACACATACACAAAGCCACCATACATTCTATTTATCAGGGCAATCTACAGAAGCCATGTTCCAAAGGTTTAAAGAACAAATGCACTTGTATCCCACATTTGCTCATTTAACATAGCCAAGCAATGAAAGCAAGTTTGCAAGTATAACCTTTCACCTTATTCCTTCTGTCCCCTGAGAACTCTACTGGAATCCTCAACGATCTGCCAGATCAACTTTTTCTGCCTGTTGGCTGATAAAGATTCTTGCAGAAGACTTCAAAACAGGTACGAGAGAGAGCATCCTCAAATTCCTTTAGATGTACATGCCCCTGCCATGGTCTCTCTAAAGCACTACACTAAATGAAGGTCTGTCCACATCTTAATGCTCTAAGATAGGTCTTCAAGGTCCACCTTACCTCTTGGAAACCACCTCAAATGTATTAATCCCAGATTACACAGAAAGATGACAGATAAAACATAAAATCCAAAAAGGGATTTAATGAAATCTATTAACATTCAAAAATAAACACATTTTTGGGGATTTTTTTTTTAGTCTAGGAAGCCTAGGAAAGCCCCTGGAAATCAGATACATTTGGCAACTATTATCTATGGGCTGCAAAGATAAACAAGGAATATGCACATCTAAAGGAATGCTGGGAATGCCTTCTTTATAACAGAAAGTGCAAGTAGTCTTGTCTCTGCTCCCTCTGCCCTCATCAATTTCTTGATATTTTCTGGTATATTTGACCTATAATGAAGGAGAAATGCATTTTCAGGACTATAGCCTGCTGGCATTGGGTCAAACAATTATGGGCAGCAAAATGGGCAGTCAAGATTTTACTGCTGTCTGTTCTGTTTTGGAGCTTTAAAGTCAACGTTTCCCCAGTTTAGGGGGAAGGAATGTCCCTTTGCATCTCCCTTTACCATTCCCTTGAAATGGTTCTTTTTACACCAAGGTACGTACCGTAGGTGACTCTTCTTCCAAGTGACTATATGAAACACAGTGGACACTATAAAAAGGGCACACAGGCCCATGCCATAAATCCAGGCCGTTATCTTTTCCCATCGGTCGTCTGACATACGATGTAGAAAAGCACTTCCAATTATAGAAGGGACAATGAGGAACTATAAAAAAAAAAAAAAAAAAAAAAAATATATGAATGTTTACTCATCAAACATTTTAAAAAGAGGACCTATCATCACTGGGCTTTTTACAAAAAAAGAGTTTTAAAGTGATCGGTGAGAAAAATCACTAAGTACACCAATTAAATACATATACAGTTAGGTCCATATATATTTGGACGCAGGCACAATTTTTAGTTTTTTTCAGGTATGTACTAAGACATATTCAGGTTATAGTTATATAATGGGTACGGGCTGAAAGTGGACACTCTCACGTTTAATTTGAGGGTATGCTCATCCAAAAATTGTAGGAAGGGTTTAGGATTTACAGCTCTTAAGAGTAGCCACCCCTCCCCCCTTTTTCACGGGACCAAAAGTAATTGGACAATTGCATAAAAAGCTGTTTCATGGCCAGGTGTGGGCTACTCCAATGTTATTTCTTCATCAGTTAAGCAGGTAAAAGGTCTAAAGTTGATTCTAAGTGTGGTATTTGCATTTCAAATCTATTGCTGTGAACCTACATCATGCGTTCAAAGGAACTGTTCATGCAAGTGAAACAGGCCATTGTAAGGCTGCACAAATGGAACAAATCCATAATAAATATAGGACAAAATGTATTCTGCTACATTTCATTGGTGAAAACCCAAATCAAAGCATATTATTTAGTCTGTGTAAAAGTTACGGCGTCTACAATCTATGGTATATATGCTTGAATTTATATATATATATCTATATATATATATATATATATATTTTATTAATTCTTTCATTACAAAATATACCAAAACACACGCATGCACAGATTTCCATGTAAATTAACCCATTCCCTTCCCCTCCTTCCATCCTCCCCCCTCCCCCCATTCAATTACCCCTGTCCATATACCATATTCTTTACTTCAAGTTCCTCCTATATTTTTCTGTCTATATTTCTGTACCTTTCTTCATACCTCTACTCTCTTTTTCCTTCATATAACTCCCAACAGCTACTCAATCATACATACTTGAAAATGTACTAATCCTCACTGATGGCTGATTCCATGTCTTGAGGCCCTAAAATGCCAGGACAGTATAAATATCCTCTTCAAATGACCCCTTTTGGAAAGTAGCCAGGCCAAGGTATTTAGTAGGAGGCATGGCAAATTTTTTGAAGTAATTTTTTTTCACAATTTTTTTGAAAATTAGGAAATGTATATATATTTTTATCCATACTGTCACCAGTGCAGTACAGCGTCATCATATGACTGTGTGTGTTGTTGATCAGGGACACTGACTGGTGTCAGTACAAAAAACCAATAATTTTTGATTCCATTTTTTTTTTATTTCTTTCTTAACTTTTCTTTTTTAACTTTTTGTTTTACATACTTTCACCATATTAACACTGCTACTCTTGGGGGGGTTATCAGGGATTTTATAGACACTGTTATTGCTTAGAACAGCGATGATCACTGCTATAAGCAATAGTTTTAGATGTTATGGATGTCTTTCAATTCATGACAGCTTGCTTACTGTTGACATGCTGTGATTGGCTACAGCTAGCCAGGTACTATGTGATAGCTGTGGGCCAATCACAGCATGTCAACAATACGCAAGTTGTCATGAATGGAAATCAATTGCCAGTTTGTTTACACAACATCATGTGATCGATATGATTCATTATAGTGATCACATGATGCCCTGGGCAGTCATAGCAGCTGGGTACCAATCGCGGTGATCCACTGTGTTCACCGGGCACAGTAGTCACAGGATCATGCTGCTGCGTGATCAAGGGAATGCGCTAGTGCACATGTGCCAGGTGATGTACCAGTACGTCGGCTGGCCTGCCTGTGCCACCTGCTCACATTATAACTACTGTGGGCAGGTGGAAAGTGGTTAATAGGGTTTAATTGCTATCACCATCTAGTGGTCATAATATGGTATTTTCCTGATTCACTGTATTCTTATGAATTAGGAATATCCAACCCAGAGGAGAAAATAGCTTGGTAAAATTTGATTTTGCCAACATTGCTACATAATTAATATACATGCAACTTTGCAGGACAAATAGTTTTAAGCTTTTTAATAAATACACCCTCTACAGTTTTAACTACCAAAGAATTTAGTAATTTAGTCCAGTCAGTCTTGTGATCCAGAGTCATCAGCCAGACAGCTCTTGGACCCCCCATGGGCTGATGTGCATTAATGGGAAAGGATATGCTTGTGACATGATTGACCTAATATGGGTACATGACCATGTTAGGTCCATGTTAGTCACCTAGTGGCCATATTATGTCTATGATATCAAAAGCATTCCTGATCTTTTGTGTATGTGCAAGTGTAGGGCAGGAAATTTCCCACCATTGGCTCAGCGATGACAGCTATGTTTGTCTGAATGGGCCTAAATTCTAACCGTGGGTGGTGGTCCGCTGAACACCTGGACAGATTCCTTCCTTCATGCTGGAAGGAGTCCAGTGAATCTAAGTGTGTATGACCAGCTTTAGCCATGGCCCAGGGCAAAGATGAGCAAAGGGCTCTGAGGTCAACATGCTGGAGACCACACTGGTGGTTTGTGCTGGAGACAATGCTGGACTGACTGGATTAGTCACTGGTCATTGGAGAGCGACTGTATAGGCAAAGAGGAAGCAATCCCTTCCAGCAGGTCATGCCCAAGGGTGGATAGTGGTGGTGGACCGTCTTAGGGGCTTGGGCTGCTACCTTTGTGATATGACCTGAAGGTCGTTTTTTGTGCTTACTCATTAGCTCTGAAGAAGGTCGAGTCCATTCCCTGAAATACGTTGGCTGGATGTGCATGCAACTTTTGATGTATGGTACATAAGACATTTATTAAAAGTGTAGTTTTCTGGACACTAGGCTCTCCTCCTTTCCTGCAAAGTCTTGTTAATATGTGTGTAATTCAAACAATCCTTTAAATATAAAATTGACGGAGCGTTATTGCATCTGTTTGATAATACCTGTTGATTCTGCTAGAAATCCAGTGAGCTGTTGTATGTTCCTCTGATCTCTATCGTTTTACCTGATATGGTGATACCAAACCTGCCCAATTCTCTTGGTGAACTACAGAATACCCCCATGTTTTGGAGATGAGAAGAGCAGGAGATGTTCTGTAGTCCTAACACCCTATCCTGGGGGAGCAATACTGCTCCTTCACAGAGGGAGTGAGCACCACTCACCCTTCCATACCTGCAAAAAATGTACTTGTAAAAAAAGAAAACGAATGCATTTGAGACCATCGAAGCTGCAATATATTAGATTTTTGTTCTTGGGTCCAAGTATGCTTCAACTACTGTGGTTCCAAACCACCAGCCACAAAGGACAGAGCGATAGCGTACGGATCAGCAGATACAACTATAGCGTGAGATAGGGGAAACACGCATACGACGTTCTCGGAAGTACTCTAGAGAGTTTCTGGCAGGATCAACATGTAATAAACTGAAAAAAAGCCTGCAAAAAAGAAAACTACTGCATCCACCACATTTGAGGACCGGTCGGACTATATTACATTTTTGGACTTGAGTTTAGATACACTTAAGGTAGCTGAGGAAAGTTTGCTACTTTTGATATTTATTTATACGATCGCTGGCGTACCTCCTCCTACTAACTTAGTGCAAGAGAGACAATAAAATGGAGACTCTGATTGGATGCTATGGATAACGCATGAATAACATATCCCATAACCTTTTCTGCCCATTAACCATGATAAATATTTTCTATCCACGTTTCAAAACATTTGTCAACTATTCCGAGAATTTAATTATTTCAACAGTTCCTCTGGCCTGCCGGCAGAATTCGAGGAAAAGGCTGATACATTTTGCTCCAGGCAATTAGCTAATCGACTTTGTAGCATTATGGTGATTTTATTCTGCGAAGCAATAAACCGGCCAAACAACCTGAACACAAAATGATAGCAATTTACCGTTGGGGGTGGAGTTATAAAAACTTTGAAAAGGTATATTTTAAATTCTGTAATACTGCATGTACATACGTTGTATGCAAATGTGAATGCTATATTTGGCTATGGTCTCTCCAGGTCGAATGTTATTCTTCATACAGTATCAGAAAAATACCATATTACGGATGGAGCTGATGATCGTAGTAAATAACGATTAGTTTCCTATGATCACCAGCTACCTCTAGTGGCCATAAAGATAAGCCCCAAGCAAAAAAAAAAAAAAAAAAAAAGGCGAAGGGCCCCCAGGGGGACAGGGGACACAAGGCAGGATGGGGTTAAGACACAGTTTGACAGAAGGGCGGCCACTTACCGTTATTGGCTAGTTTACAGAGCGTAGGTGGCGCTTCTGGGGGTATATGGGAAGGAGATCCAAAGAGCAGCAAATCCCGTGAAGGAATCTTCCCGCCCCGCATTTGTTTCATTTGGCCCTAGGGTCTTTGGCGGATCGGGTCTTTGGAGGCGTTAACATTTTCAGAACAGTTCATAGTAGTGACCCATCTAAGGTATGGACTAAATGCAATTTCTCCTGCTCTCCGGGACCCAGGCCGGTGGTGAGTAGATCAAATCCCAACAAAACAACCACCGGGGCATACAGGGCTACACTCTTAGTCCAGTCAGCTCTGAGGAAGAAGGCATGACCTTCGAAATGCGTCAGCTGTACTGAGTGTCCACCCCCATGATGGGATTCGCGCTGGCCTCTTGCCTTTGAAGTCCCTGGGAGGACTTACATGCCTGTTTTTATTCGCTGTTTGTGAGTACCATTCTTTTACTAAATAAATTTGGTTACTGAGGTAATGCGCAAGGTTGGTGCGCTTCTTCTTGTTTTACTTCACCATCTAAGGTATGGCCAGGGGCGGACTGACAACTTATGGGGTCCCCAGGCAATAGGGGATCGTGGGGCCCCTGTGTCCTTGCCCACACTCAAAAAAAAGCCTATAAAAAGGGTACCAGGGTCATTTCATGGGGCCCCCTACTGACCCCGGGCCCTCGGGCAGTGCCCGAGTGCTTGAATGGTCAGTCCGCCCTTGGGTATGGCGTCCTCTGTTGGATCCCAGTT